CGCGCAGCCCCACGGGGTCCCGCTGGCTCCATCCGGATCCGACACTCGCGCCGCCAAGGCCGAGGTGCCACGGGCCGGGAAGCGGCCGGCCCCGCACGGCAGAGCGGCGGCAACGCGGGGGACGGCAGGGGCAGCAGGGGACGGGCGGGCAGCGCGCGGTGCTCACGGGCCGGCTCCGCGGGAGCCAGGTGCAGGGACACGGGGACCGAACGAGCCGGGCGCTGGGACACGACCCCGCACGAGGGGTACCGAGGGGACGGGGTGCTGCAGGGACGGGGTGGCGCCTGCGCCCYGAGGCTGCGGGAGCTGCGCTCAGAGCCGCCGGGAGCCGTGAGGGCAGCCGCCGGCCGCGCGCTGCAGAGGGGCCGCACCGCCGCTCTGCGCCGCAGGCTGCAGCCTCCCCTGCCGAGCCCCAGCGCCAGAACTGGAGCAGMGGGGACAGAGAGCAGCCTCTGCGGCTTCAGCCTCCAGGGCTCCGGTCCCCAGGGCTCCGGGCTCCCAGGCACCTCGCAGGGAGCCGCACGCAGCGCGGAGGGAACGCGGACCGCGTCAGAGGCGTCGTGGGACGCGGCTCTTGACCCAACTAACACACTGGAACTGGACAATTCAGACCCGCGCGCGCAAGGACAGCATCGAGCGGCCGAGCACGGGGCGCGGGGYGGCCCGCGGGCTCCCCTCGCAAGCCGGGTCTGATGATGTGCATCCCCCACAGCAGGGACACAGCCCATGACGGGGCGTGTGTCCCCGCAGCACGGCTGGACCCAGTCATGGTGAGAGTGCCCCAGAAGAGGGATGCACCCAGTGCTGCCACGTGTGCCCCACAGGGGCCCTACCTGATGATGGTGTGCATGCCCCGCACCTGCGGCGTGTTCTCCAGCACGCTCAGCGTCTTGGGCAGGGGCTGCCCTTGGTGGGCAGAGGCCAGGGCCGCCCTGCAGGAGGGGGCGGTGAGCGGGGTTGCCCGCCGCGGGAGGGCACGGGAGGGCAGGGACGTCCGGGAGAGCCCGGGAAGGGCCCGCCCGGCACGGCYGCGTCCCCGGAGGGCTCCGTGTCCCCGGCCCGAGCGGATCCCCGCCCCGCGCGCCGCCTCATCCCGCTCCGGTCCCGCCGGGCCGCGCGTGGAGGAGGAGCAGCCCCGCACGCAGCCCGCAGGGCTCAGCCCACGGCAGCGGCCGCAGGCAGCCCTGCCTGGACTCGCGCCGCGCTCTGCTTGGTGCCAACGTGTCCTATGTGCCCTAGGTATCCTACACACCGCCCTCCATGCCGCCTCCGTGCCCTACGCACCACCCTATGTGCCAATCTATGGGCCCTACCCGTGCCAGGCGCCGCCCTCCGTGCCCTACCTGACGGTGATCTCCCGCTGGGAGCGCAGCAGCGGCGTTGGGAGCAGCAAGCGGGGCAGCAAGCGGGACAACATCCAGTCACTGCGCGGCCAGGGCAGCCCCCAGAGCCCCTCCCCTTCTCCGGACACCGAACCGGGACCAAAATCCCCAGGGACAAGGGGGGCCTGCCCAGGGGAGCCCAGGGGGCTGCCGGGTGCCGGCAGGGGCGAGGGGGGCGCGGAGAGGAGGGACCCCAGGGCAGGGCAGGGCGAGGGCACAGGGGTCCCAGGGGCCGCGGGTGGCAGTGGCTGCTGTGCCCACCCCCCCCAGAGCCCCCGTGTCCCAGTCCAGCCCTCCACTTTTCCTCCCCCCCCCTCCTCCTCCTCCCCCTCCTGCTCCTCCTCCTTCTCCTGCTCCTTCTCCTCCTGCTCCTCCTCCTGCCCCTTCCCCTCTTCCCCATTCCCTTCCTCCTGCTCCTCCTCCTCCCGCCGGCCGTGCAGCCCGCACCTTCTCCAGCTGGCTGTGCACGTGCTGCACGATGAGCTCCAGCGCCACCGAGTTCTCACCCCCTGAGAGCAGAGCGGAGCGGAGGCGCCGGCTGAGCCCCGCAGCGCAGCGGCGCCCGCAGCCCCGCGGCACCACGACGTCCCCACCCCGCGGCACCAGGACGCCCCTACCCCGCGGCACCACGATGTCGGCCAGCTGCACGGTGGGCTCGATGTACTGCTCGAAGGCCGGCTTCACAAACTTGTGGTACTGCTTGATGACGCCCACGATGTCCCGCCCGCGCTCCATGATGTCGCGCTGCAGCCGCCGCACCAGCCGGATGTCGGAGTCCGTGTCCACGAACACCTTCATGTCCAGGAGCTGGAAAACTGGGAGGGATGAGCACCCGCTCACACAGCGGGCACCCAGCGGGCACCCAGCGCCGGGCCGGCCCGCACAGCGACAGCCCTGGAGCAGGAGCATCTCCAAAGGGCACCTCCCCACGCACCACACCAAGGCCGGGCCAGGACGGGGCTTGTGCCAGGCTGCACCCCGCTGTGCTGCCATGGTGCCTCACCCCGTGTGCTGCATCCCGTGTGCTGCCCTCACCCCGTGTGCTGCCATGGAGCCCTCATCCCGTGTGCTGCTACAGAGCCCTCATCCCGTGTGCTGCATCCCACTGTGCTGCCCTCATCCCATGGTCACCCCGTTGTGCTGCCCTCACCCCACGGCCACCCCGCGCTCTGCCCGCCCCACGGTGCCCCCACGGCAGCGGCACCGGCCGCGGTACCTTCAGCAGCTCCTTGTTGGCAAACGCCAGGATCCCCTCGAACACGATCACGTTGGCCCCGTACACCGTTTTCTGCGGGCAGAGCGGATGCGGCGCCGAGCGCTCAGCGAGGACGGCTCAGCCCTCGGCCCCGCGGAGCCGTCGGCCCACGCTGGGATACCGTCGCTGCCCGGCCAACCGGTGCCGAGGGCCCCTATCCCGCGGGCGCACGCACCCACTCGCGGCGGCGGCTGTGCGTGGTGAAGTCGTAGACGGGCACCTTCACGCTCTTGCCCTTCTTCAGCTTGCGCAGGACGCTGACCAGCAGCTCGAAGTCGAAGGCATCGGGGTGGTCGAAGTTGTAGTCGCTGCGGGCGGCCAGCGCCTGCTGCCCCTCGTCCAGCACCTGCGGGCACGGGCACAGGGATGAGGATGGGGACAGGGATGAGGATGGAAAAGGGATGGGCTTGGAGATGTGGATGAGGACACACATGGCGATAGGCACAGGGATGAGGATGGGGACCAGGATGGGGATYGGGATGCAGATGAGGACGGGGATGCAGATGGGGACAGGGATGCAGATGAGCACAGGGATGAAGATGCAGATGGGGATGCGGATGAGCACAAGGATGAGCACGGGCACAGTGATGAGGATCCAGGTGGGGAGGAGGATGCGGATGGGCACAGGGATGGGGATGGGCACAGGGATGGGCACAGGGATGCGGACAGAGACAGGAATGCGCATGGGGATGGGGATGGAGAGGAGGGTGGGCCCAGGGATGCAGATGGGGATGCAGATGGGCACAGGGA